CCCCTGCATTGGCAGGCGAACTCTCAACCACTGCGCCACCAGGGAAGCCCTCTTACGTTCCTTTTTAAAACCAGCCTAAGAAGAGAAACGTATTTCACAAAAAGGGCTCAAGTTCAGTTTGAGAGACCATAAACTCTCACTTGGGAAGAGCCCTGGGCCAACAAGCCAGCTCCCTGCACTGGGCCAGCAGGGTCTGTCATCCCTGAGCTGCTCTCCACGTCTGGAGATATCACTGCACTGGGGGAATCAGGGAAGCATCTTCAGAGCTGCCTGGACAAGATGCCACAGGGCTGAGCAGAAAGTTGAGGGGCCCCTCCATTCCCAGAATTCTGTCAAACTGTGTCTCCTCCAGTCCGAGTTCTCTATCCTGGATGAAGAAATACCAGTAGTTATCTCCGTTGCTCAGAGGCTCTCCCCTGTGGCAGGTTTTCCCTGTTGGCAACTAGACCCATGGGACTGCCCTGTGTTTTACTGATTTGTTTCCTCTTCAGCTGACCTCCCTGTGGTTCAGTTTATCTCCAGGAAGTTCAGTAATGCTCCCTGTGCGTCCAGCCCTGGGATCACAGAGAAGAACCATGCCCCCTGCTCTCCCATAGGAAGCTGCAAGTCTGGGAGCTGGGGGTGGCCAGACGCAGACCCTTCCATTCACTGTGGTGAGCGGTAGGGAGCCCAGGGGCTGTGAGACCAGAGTGGCTTAGAGTAGCTGACCCAGCCTGGGGGGTCACCCCCCCCCAGAATAGATGCCTTCCCCACCTGCATGCAAACTTCTTAGAGAACGTCACTGACTGTCAGAAGTAGCATCACCCTGGTCACCCTCCATTCCCTCATTTTCTCCCTTGCAGTCTTCACTGGCTGAGTTTTCTGTGTTACATTTATTGGTTTATCTGTATTTTTGTTTGGTTCTGTTTTTCTCCCCTGCTAGAATTTCAGCTCCCTGAGGAGGGGCCTGTGTCTCATTCACCACTGTATTCCCAGTGCCTTGATCGGTTTGAGGCACTTGTTAGATATTTGATCAATAGCTTTTATCCTCATACTTCATGATGTCATAGGCAGATCCCAAACCTGGCAGTGATTCAAAAGTCCGACTCAGTCCAACTGAAAAACTTCAGTCTTGTATCCATTTTAACCTTCACCCCAATTCTTTCTGAAATCAAACTCTGACGTGACCATGGGCTGAGGCCCTTGAGGTCTGGAAGGATTAGAATTTGCTCCTTATTTCTTCTCCTCCTCCCTCAGTTGTGCGAGTTCAGGGTGGAAGGATTGAGGGAACAGAGCTCTCTTCTTTTGGACCCCTGCTGTCACTACCCTTTCTTGACCATCTGTATCTTTTCCGTCCTGGGCACCCAAATGAGGTCTGGCTCCGGGTCATAGGTGGGGCCTTCTCCACCTCGAAGTTCCCCAATAGAGCTCTCGACTGATTCTTCTTCTTTTTTTTTTTTTTTTTTGTTTGTGTTGCGCGGGCCTCTCCCATTTCGTTGCCTTCCCCTGTGGGGCACAGGCTCTGGACGTGCAGGCTCAGCGGCCATGGCTCACAGGCCCAGCCACTCCGCGGCATGTGGTATCTTCCCGGACCGGGGCACGAACCCGTGTCCCCTGCATCGGTGGGCGGACTCTCAACCACTGCGCCACCAGGGAAGCCCCTCGACTGCTTCTTCTGCTACGGGGGCTCTTTGCCCCATACTCCACCCCCAGCCCAGAAACCTTCCACCTAGAAAGCGCCTACTTTGTAAGCTGCCGCCCAGCAGATTGAGAGGAAGCTCAGTGTGACTGATGGTGCTCTTCTCTAACCACCTTGCGTTTATCTGTATCTCAGTTGACCTGAACAATCTACCCCGAAACCCTCCCCACCCCCATCTCCACCTCATCCTTTTCTACATGTTTTTCACGCCTTTTCCTCTGTCTGAAATTCTTCAGCACGCCATCCTTCCCCCGCCTCTGCACGTCGACCTGTAGCTCAGGCTCCAGGGCCGAGGGCAGACGCCGCGTCATCTTCACACCTTTCTTGTCCCTGTACTTCAGCTGTTCTCAACCTTGGTGCACATTGGAATCACCCAGGGGCTCTAAAAATATTGACGCCTGAGCCCCACCTCCAGACATTCTGATCGAATTGGTCTGGGTGGCATCTGGGCATTAATACTGGTTGAAAACGCTGTGCAGGGCTAAGTGGGCTAGTGGAATTCTTTTATCTTTTTATCCGAGTACTTATCCCCCTCTGCTGGCCTTTATCCACTGTGAGACTGTAAGCATCTCGAGAGAGGAACGTGTCTGATTCATTTTTGTTCATCTCACCGGGCTCAGAACAAGGCTCAGTAACGTAAACTATGACAGTAACAATAATGATAATGATAATAATAGCTAGCATTCACTGCATGTTTACTATGTGCTACACACCATGCTAACTCCTGTCGATGGATTATCCCATTTACGCCCCGACCACTCTGAGAGGCAGGTGCTGCTGATTCCCCTTTTACAAATGAGCAAACCCAGGCACAGATGTCAGGGAACATGCCCAGGATCGCACTGGTGTGAAGGATGGAACAGAGAGTAGAGTCTGGGCGGGCTGGCCTCAGAGCCCGTGCTAATATCATTTTGCCTCTATACAGTTTGTACATGGTCAGAATTCCCCCAGCAAGCTATTGAGTGAAGGTGAGTAAATGAGTGATTGGAAATAAACAGCTATTTCCTAGGCAATAGCTCCATCAGGCCTAGTGGGGCACCTCTCCATTAGATTTAGTCCTGGTACCACTTTCATAATGGCTCATGTTCCAAACACCTGCTTAATGATTTGTGTAATATTTTTTAAATTAATTAATTCATTTATTTATTTTTGGCTACATTGGGTCTTTGTTGCTGTGCGCGGGCTTTCTCTAGTTGCGGCGAGCAGGGGCTGCTCCTCGTCGTGGTGCATGGGCTTCTCATTGCGGTGGCTTCTCTTGCTGTGGAGCACGGGCTCTAGGCGTGTGGGCTTCAGTAGTTGTGGCACACGGGCTCAGTAGTTGTGGCTTGTGGGCTCTAGAGCGCAGGCTCAGTACTTGCGGCGCATGGGTTTAGTCGCTCCGCAGCATGTGGGATCTTCCCGGACTAGGGCTCAAACCCATGTCCCCTTCATTGGCAGGTGGATTCTTAACCACTGCGCCACCAGGGAAGTCCTGATTTATGTAATTTTTTTTTTTTTTTGCGGTATGCGGGCCTCTCACTGTTGTGACCTCTCCCGTTGCAGAGCACAGGCTCTGGACGCACAGGCTTAGCGGCCATGGCTCATGGGCCCAGCCGCTCTGCGGCATGTGGGATCTTCCCGGACCGGGGCATGAACCCGTGTCCCCTGCATCTGCAAGCGGACTCTCAACCACTGCACCACCGGGGAAGCCCATGTAATATATTTTTTTTTTCCATGTAATATTTTTAATTTAACATTTTATCTAAAAATTTTCTACTCAACTTCATCCAAGCAAAAATATCCATTGTACCAAAGAAATATCTTTCCAAAAAGCACTTTTAAAGAATAACCTCATGCGCGTATGTGCACGTGTATGTGCGCATGTGTGTGCACCACCTAAAGTAAACTCACCGCCCTGGTAGGCACACCACACTCATCTGATATAAACAGAATTTTCAGCCATCCTCCTTGTCAACCTGCTGGACAACCTGGATCCGAATTATACCTACAGGAATTGTAAAAAGTTCCACTCGTCAGAGTTCTATTCTAATATGAACATTAAGTTATTTTAGAACCTGTTTAAAAGTTCATCTCTTCCCAAGGAAAACACGTTTTGCCTGGAATTAACTAGAAAAGCCGAGAAGCTTGTTAAGGCCCTGGCTTCTATCTGCGTTGGGCTTTATGAAGTTCCAGCTCTTTAAGAGGCATTTCACAAGAAGCACTGCTCCATTTAGAGGGAGTGCTGGGGCTGAGGGAAACCCTGTGGGATACAAGCATTATTATTACTTTTTAAAATATTCACCGAAGTGTGTTTATGCATTTTTATCACTGTTCCACAATAACCCCGTTGTTGTTGTTGTTGTTGTTTTGCGGTACGCGGGCTTCTCACCGTTGTGGCCTCTCCCGTTGCGGAGCACAGGCTCCGGACGCGCAGGCTCAGCGGCCATGGCCCACGGGCCCAGCTGCTCCGCGGCATGTGGGATCTTCCCGGACCGGGGCACGAACCCGTGTCCCCTGCATCGACAGACGGACTCTCAACCACTGCGCCACCAGGGAAGCCCAATAACCCCGTTTTTAATGCAGGTTCTTCTGGCCCAGTCCTTGGCATTAGGGTAACCCACGTGCCAAATGAGTGTGCCGGAGAAGGTGGTCTAGAAACTCAGAGAAGGGAGTAGGTTCCGTGGGTGCTGTGGCCCAGAAAGACTTCAGTGGAGAAAGTAAACTTGAGCCCGAGCCTGAAGAATGAATGGGTTTGAGGTAACCTGGCTTGGCCCAAGGTCATGGGAGTGAACGTGAAAAAAAGGAGGATATTCAGCGTGCATCCCACCCTCCTGGGTGAGTTAGAGAGGAAAATCCATCCCAATAGCACATCCTTCGCACAGTTAACTCCCAGATCCTGAAAGCGGAATTATTATTTTAAAACATCAGTACTTTTTTTTTCAGTTGATACAATTCAGCACTGCGGGGATTGTGGGAAATCAGATAGAGGCATCTTCCATGATTAAACTGGAAGACCACAAAATATTGGCATCATACATAACCTCTGTGCAGAATTGGGAGAAAAGGGTTTTTGTTTGGGATGCAACGGTGCACTGCTGTGTTTGTTAGCCTCTGGCTCCAAACAATGTCCCTCCAACTAACTGCAAATGCTGATTATGTTAGAAAGAGGGGGCGGGGAAGGAAGAGTGACTCTCATAAGCTCCTGATTGTTCTACACCCCCGTGGGCAGAAGAAGTATGGCTGGAATTAGGGGGTAAGGGAGACAGGGGCGCGAAGCAAAAATAGTACTTTGAGAGTCCACATTCAACAAGTTGCAACCATGAAAACTCTGTCTTGTTCCTAGGACATAGCTGACGGCACGGGAAAAGAAGGACAGGAAATCCCAACTGTGAGTTGCTCTGTCCCCGGGGTCCCTGAAGAACTGGAGATTGCAAAGGAGGACCCCCAGACAGAGAATAATAATTCCATCATGAGCTTCCTTAAAACTCTGGTAAGCAGTTTCATCTCCTTTTCTATTCTATTCCTCAATTTTATTGCTCAAAAGTTTTGTTAGATCTAAGAATGATACATACTTGAATGTTACTGTTCTAAACGGCTTGATGCAGCTGGGACATTGGAGAACAGGGACAAGATGTGCTTCGTAAGGGAATTGGCTTTCAGTGAAGGCGTCTTTAGTTGCTGCGAACTGTGAGATTAACTATGCGACATGAGCTATGTGGTAGTAGAACGCTACCGCAATTGGATATCTTATGGTCATTGATCATAAAAATAATTGGAAAATACTTCCTTGAGTTGCTGACCTATCAAAGCATTTTTGCCACTCAAATGGCAAATAAAACTGTAGAAATCACTTTCTATCTTGTTACATCTAAAGCTCGCATTTGACTGGGTGGAGGCAGGGACCCACATCTTGCATTGCTTGCTCCTGTCTGACTCTTCAGGCCCTGCAGCTTGGCACCTGCCAGACACTCAAAAAAAGGGCTGAATGAGTGAATGCATAATTAAACAGACAGATCCAAGTGTTTGGGCTATTCCCAAAGGCCAAGACCAACTTCAAAAGATAAAACAGAAAAAGTCAACCGAATGTGCCACAAACACCAAAGGCTTGTACATTTGTTTGGATTAGTGGTGGACTTGTTGGAAAGTGTGTAGCCATCCAGGAGACAGTTTTGAATGTGGTCAAGCTCTTAGTGAATGTATAAGATCTGATGCATTTCATTATAAAATATTAATTTTGTTAACTTATGTATACTTAGGTATTACCCAGAAGTCCATGGGTTTCTACTAAATTAAAAGGACTTCTCATTACATTCCTTACTTGTAGAGTGAAGTAGACCACCCTAAATAAAAATATGAAATAGGGAATTCCCTGGTGGTGCAGTGGTTAGGACTTGGCACTTTCACTGCCGGGGCCCAGGTTCAGTCCCTGGTCAGGGAACTAAAATAAAAAGAAAGAAAGAAAGAGAAACACCCTACAGAGCTATGGTTTTTAACATTTGGTTTTTCTCAAACTTTTAAGGTTTCGCCTAACAAAGCTGAAACAAAAAAAGATCTGGAAGACACGGTAGGTCATTTGAAGTGTGTTTGGGTTTGGGTTTGTGCGTAGAATTGGATTTGGATTTATGTATGCGTCTCTGTTTTTTGAACTTTGTGTGCGTGGGATATACATACACACATATATACATATTTAGCAATTTAATAGTGCTGTTAGATTGTCTTTACAATGTTCCACTTACGTTAATGGTATTTTAATGAAAATTTTGGTGGGAAGCTTGAAATATGTGCCAATTATGGCTAAATAATGTCATAAAAACCAATTTCTTATACAGAATAAGAACAGAATACTAATTATTATATATCATCTTAGTCTCTTTAGTTGTGTGTAGAGAGGCCCAGGGAATATGGTAAAAGTTAGCCACTGGAAATGCAAAAGTCATGAGACTCAATTTAAAGCAGATGTGAGCTGCTAGATTTTGGTTTTTAAAAAATATGTCTTGCTTTGTTTTTCATGTAATTTGAAAAAAATTAGTCTCCACTGCAATGGCAGTTGCTTGGTGGCATGAAATAGTCACCAGTCGACACTTGCCAAATGAAGGAACATGTAGAGGGGTTAGGATGCCCTAGAGAGTGTGTGCTTTTTTGCCGTCATCCTAGAAATTCAGCCAGTTCCCCTCAAAGTACATTTTGTTTGGAATGACTACTTTCTAGAGATGTTTTCCCTTTGCACTTGAGAGAACCGATTTCCTTTCGTAGAACACGTGGTTTAAATTTCACGGGAATCATGAGGGAAATTTAACTTGGTGACAGATAAATGTCTTGTGTCCTCCTTTTGATAACTGAAAGTGCTTTGAAAGGCACTGGGACCAAACAAATGGCTTGGCCAACCCAGTATATCTGCTCCCCGTATTTGAAGGGGCTAAGTTGTGAAAAGGATCCTAGAATTTGTCTCAGAAAACCTGTGTTCGAGCCGCAGTCCTGCTACTTGATAGCTGTGTGATCCTAACCTGTCTGAACCCAAATTTCCACATCTGTAAAACTGGGGCAATAAAAATTCTGCCTCCCCAACCCCAGGACTGAATGAAGGTGTGACAGTGCCTGGTAAACCCTGGAGCTCTGTTCAAATGTAGGTGATCCCTATTTCCATAATCACAGCAGGACAGACTGAACATCAGGATTACATGTGTATTGTACTGATTGGTTCCTCTAGAATTTTCTTCTTCCATTGAAAAAAAGATATATCTGAGGTATCTACGTGCATTTTCCCATAAGGTTATTTATTTGCTACAAGGCAGCTAGAGTCAAGTTCAATGAATGGTTGGGTCCAAATGTTTCTCTTTGGGTTCTGTGTCCTGCATTGTTGGAAATCACAGAGTCAGCACAATAGGCTATAAACACTGGGGTATGTGGGTGTGTTGTGTGGCTCCCCGAGTGACCTGATGCCCTCACTCCCTTTAGCTGCTCACGGCATCAAGTCTCTTCCCCCACCCCGAATGTGGTCCCAGCTGAAAGTACCTAGTGGTAAAATCTCATGGCCCTGCCCAGAGAGCTATGCGCTCAGTGCTGATGGAACTGGATCTCAAAAGCGGGTTTTGTGAATGTAGGTTGTCCGTGATGCCCACAAACAGACCTCTTTCTACCAACCTGGTTCTCATACTTGCCTTCTTGACATCTTTTCTACTGAAGTTCTTGGATTCATGCTTTTGAAATGTCAACACTTTTGTCCATCTTCTCATTTGGCCCTGGGCAATCCACTGCTGCCCACACAAAATCCCCCCGCCATTTGTGACTTGAGTCAGCAATTCTGAACGGTTGTAGCTGGGCTATTTTAGTTCCAATTTCCCCTCACTTTGGCTCAGTGGACTGACTCACTCTAGAAACATCTTTTGCCCAGGAGATCTGCCCATCTAGAAGTCAGTTGAGATTTTTGTGGGTGATACTGCTTCCCTGAAGTTTCTAATACCGCAAAAGAGGAGATCCGTTTGAGAATGAAAGCCATTTAGTGGCAGTACTTGACTCCAAGATGCAAAAATAAATTGCTTGTCTTCAGGTATTTTTTTCTTCTGTTTCACGTTGCAATAGCATTTAGATTTTTAAAAATCATCGGGTAGGGACTGCATTATCGTTTTTATTTTTTAATTTTTTTCACCTGGATATTACGTGTCCTGTAGACAAAGCTTAAATATCTTGTCATTGTCTTTAGCAAATGGAGCTGCATTAATCTGGGTCATTTAACTAGGCTGCTGTGTTGAAAATCAACATGTACCTGAAATAGACTGTGAATTTGCACTTTAACAAATCGTCTTTGAGAGTTTGAAAAAGATAAGCACTCACGTGATGTCTTGTGATTGGGAGATGGGGGTGATGTACCGGCAGCTAATTGACAAAGTGGATTACTGCGCTTAAAAACAACAGAAAAAAAATGCATTCTGTTTAAAAACAAAGTTCTAAGCTGTGACTGCTGTTGCCCACAAGGCATCTAAAGCAGAAAGTGTCTGTGATGGACAAGCTGGGCAGAAGACATCCGAGATCCAGGCTAAAGGCACCAAGAAAAAGCATCTGCATAGCCCCAGGCTAGGACTCGCCTTTAGAAAATTCTTTAGGCATAAGGTCTGTATCTTGTTAAAATAGGAGGAAAAATGAGAACCCTGGTCTTCACCACATGACACGTGTGCCCATCCTGTATCCAGCCTGCTCCACTTCAGTGAAGACAGAGCCTTGGGTGGTAGAAATCATTAGAGGGGAATTAAGTACTTATGTGAATCAAATTTCAGAGGTTTTAAGTCCCCATAATTGTAAACATCTCAGACTACTTTCCTAGTGTGGACCAGGGTTCTGAGATTATTCTTCTAACCTAGTGTTTCCCAAATGTTGAATGTTTGCATACCACCTTCATCGTTTTTGGCAGATATACCACTATTTACTTGATATTTTTATATTGAAATTGACTCACTTCCTATTTAAAGATATCTGTAAAAGAAACTTTGTATTACATCACACTTGGAAAAGCAGATCATTTTTCATAAGAGGAATGTACCATTATATGGGCAATAAAAAAAGAGATTACATTCTAGCTGTCTCGCCTGTGTTAAGCTCTGAATCTATTGCCATTTCTAGCTTTATGAAAAGGCAATTAGCCAGCAGCAGGGAAATGTTAAAGATTTCTCTACCGGCACCAGACTGAGATTTTCCCCCAATGGTCTTAGAAAGATGAGAATTGAAAAAGGAAAAGTATTTTCACGATTTTAATATTATTTAATATCATAGCACAATCTGAGGCCATCTCTGATCCCACCAATGGTATGCTTGCTATACTTTGGGAAATGCTCTTCTAACCTCAGGATAACAATTCTATCTTCCTGTGGTCCGTTCCATCTCTTCCCTGTATTAACTAAACTTATACTGAGCCCAAATGGAAGCCCAGGCAGAACAAAACAATGAATGAAGGCAGAGCAAGTCCTGTCTCCACGTTCTTGGGAAGTAAAGACAACAGAGAAGTGAGTTTCGGAGATTTCACTCTTCTAATGTCTACGAAAATGCCAGTATTTGTCTGAAACCATCAGTTAAAAGGATCCCTGACTTGGGCCAGCATGCTTGTAAATTTGTTTAAAATATCCACCATTCTCCACTAAGTTGAACGAACTTATTTGAAAAACTTCCCCAGCTGGATGTAATAGTCCCAGGATTGTGTATGCAGATAAAAGCTCCATAGAAAGCTCTCCCAGCGGAATCTATATTTGCATAAACAGACTATGTTATGAAGCCACCCTTCGATTTCCATGCAGGGTTATTTTGTCCTGTAACGAGACAAGGGGGTGGATGAGAGACACTGCAATGGGGGAGGGAACGTTAAAAAGTGGTACCACTGTATGTGGGCGACAATTTGGTAACTGCTAGTGAAATGTGTCATGGATCTGGTACAAAGGAATCTAGCTGAATTCCCACGGGTGCTTCGGTGAGTAGGGGGCCTTGAAAGTTTAAGACGCTATGACTCCCCCTCCCCCGACCCCCACAGATCTGCATTTCATCACGACATTCATTTCGTGCCTCCAGAATCTCTCCCCTCCCACAAGTGGACCACCCAAGTTCAGTATTCCTGGGGCTTCCCCAATTGTTGGCTTCACATCCTGCCAACTGAGTTGACTTTTGGGGTAGGAGAGGATTCTAAAGCCACTGGGACGATGGAGAAGAAATGACCCTTTCTGGGATACTGTAATACAGACTAAGGTTTTGCCTTGAGTTACATTCGGTCTATTTTTTTAACGTCAAAGTAAAGTAAGGGGACAATTCCCAGATGTTCTTAATTCTCATTTATACAGCAGTGTGGCAGATCGCATTGGCTTTTACCTTCATGCCTAGGACAGTGCTTTTCTTTTCCTCAATTGGTTGTTCTGTCGTCCAAAAAGATAGGAAAACAGAGCCATTAAAATTGACCATCCAGAGTCCATCAGTGAACCTTGTTGCATGATTATGGGAGGTGTGATACTCATCCTCCTTGATTTCAGTGTGACCTAAGACAGAAAAAAGACATCCAAGCAAATTCAAGGATAAAACGGTATCTTCTAGTTTTGCTCTTAAAAAAAATAATACAGTGGTTACCAATTCTGGTTAACTCCTCGTTTCATTTCTTTGTATGTCAATTTTCCTTCCTATAAAAAGAATTTGCTTAGTTTCAAAGAGGAGGAAAGGCTGACATTAATCAATGAAATAAGTTTATTATTATAAATAATAAGGGGGTCAGCGTTTCTTTGCTGAATCTGAATTTTTTTTCTTGGCTTAATCACATGCGGTTCCTCAGAATAAAACCTTTTCACACGACCTGCAAACGTTGGACATGACACATGTACACAAAGCAGGACATTGTTTTAGAATGTCTTTGCCACGCCCAGAAATGTTCCCCTCCCCACTCAGGTTTGCTCAATGCCCACCCTCTCCATAAGGCAGCTAAAATATTAGCAGCTACCTCATAGGGTTCATAAGCTTATGCCACACATTCATTGTTTTTTGGCTCTTGGTACAATGTTTCCATGTTACTAACACGTCCCCTCTCCCACACTCATATGTGAAAATGATGAAAACTTCTTGTGGAAGAAGGTAAGGTCATCTGATATGCAATCTCCAAATCTAATACATTAGAATTTCATGGGTAGGGTTGTCAGATAAATAACAAGTACCCAGTTAAATTCAAATTTCAGATACACAGCAAATAATTTTTGAGTATAAATCTAAGTATGTCCCAGGCAATATTGGGGACATCCTTAGGCAAAAAACTTATTCTTTGTTGATCTGAAATTCAGATTTAACAGGACATCCTATAGTCTCACTGTTATTTGCTAAATCTGGCAACCCTACTCAGGGGATTGTCTCCAAAAAACATGGATAGAATTTTCGTAGTCTCCTCTGTAATGGAGACAAAGAGTGTGAATTCAGTTGATGCTGGCAGAACACCATTTGGGGCACTTCTCTGGGCAGCGAGGAGATGAGTAGAGGCAGGGAGAGGATGACTAATGGGTGTGTGTGACTCCACAGCCCTGTAAGGAGGGGGTGGGTGGACGGAAAGATGACATGGCAGGGTGCTATGTGGGTAGCTCTCTGTGGCCCCTCTCGTAAAATTAATTTGTTATTTATTTAATGCCTGTTTTGAGCCAGACACTGGGTCTGATGGGTGGTAGGAGTGTAATGGTGACTAAGACATAACAGCTCTTACCTTCACAGAACTCATACTCTGGCCAGAGAAATGCATACTCAACAGATATAGTCGTTATATTTTACACAGATATAGTCGTTATATTTTACACAGATATAGTCGTTATATTTTATTACTATACATATGATAGAGTCATGTCCTTGTCATGTTTTTCGAAGATCTCAGGGTATCTTCCCAGGGCAAAGAGAATTGGCCATTTCCCAACAAAACTGATCAGTATAGATGTGTTCCTCAACCTTTTTCCCATTATCACCCCCCCACCATGAAGCTTCTTTAGATATTTTCTCCCTAATTGCCCTTCTCCCCATGGAATTTTAGTACAACAGCTACACTGTTTATCTGTTGATGTACCGTGGCCCTTAGTAGGGCCATAGGCAATATAAACATCTAAAAATTGCCCATAACGCACTGCCCCAAGAACAAGGGCAATCTCACCCCCCAACTTTCCCCCACGTGGAGTTAAGATTGCCGTGGCTGAGAATGCATATGGCGTAGACGGTTCCATCCCCTGATGGGCACAACAGCACATGGAGTGGGGAGATCTTGGTCTGTTGGAAGCAGTGTAGACAGAGTAGCTATTCAGAGTCTGGGTTTGGGTATCAGACTCCCTGGATTCAGATGCCAACTCTGTCACCTTATAAGTGCAATCACAGGCAAGTTATTTAACCACCTGAGACCAAAATTTCCCTAACAATAAAATGGACATAACAATTAATTCCTTCCTCATAGGACTGTTGTTAGAACATTCAATTGCTTAAAACAGTGCCTGGCACTGGTACCTTTTATTGTTACTATTAAATCGGAGTTAAAAGTTGGCCATCTCTGTGCCTAGTCTCCTTGGACCCTAGTCCCTCTTCAAGAGGCTGAGAGAGAAAGGAGGCTGAGGGGAACAAAAGGAAAGGGTAAAACCAGCCAAACCAGAGGCGTGTGATGGGCTAAGCAAACTAGACCTGTCCTGCCTAGAATTCTAGAACTCCAGAACTAGCTTTTTTTGGTAACCCCCATGTGGCTTTGGCTGAGTAGACTGAGCACATACGAAGGGGTATCCAGGAGCTGGTGAGGCAACGCGGCGTCTCTAAGTATAGAAAGCAAAGCAGCAGAATTTAAATCAAAGCAGTGTGGAGCAATGGAGCATCTACTGTAATGACATGAGCAGAATGGATGATTTACTTAAGCCAACAAGAACCCTTTCTTAGAGATAGAAGTGAGGTCAGCCTCACCCCGCCCCCAGATTCTTGACCTAACATGGACCCCTTGAGCAAGTGGGGATTTTCCCAAGAAAGCAGAAGGGGAGTTGATGTTGGGGACCACGCATGGCCACTCCTTTCCTTCCTGCTTCCATCACGGCTCTCTGATGCTTTTCGAGGGCGCTGAGAGCACGCTGTTCGCTGTGCCTGGTGTGCTTCTCCTCCCTCCCGCAGCTAATTTCTAGTCACCCTTCAGGTCGTGGCACAGCATCCCTTTCTCTATCAAGCCTTCCTGATTGCCATGATGGATCTAATTCCCTAGTTTAGCCTTTTTTTTTTTTTTAGCACCAAATCCTTCTCTCCACCCCACAGCACTTATCATAGTTGAAATTTTACATACATTTGTGGAATTATTTGTTTGGTGTCTCTCTCTCTCTCTCTATGAGGACATGTAACCCCAGCACTCAGTACCCATTGCAGGTCATAGAAGGCAGTCGATGCATTTTTTATGAGTAAATGAATAAATCATAATACTTTCCTCCTGTTTTCTGGAAAAGCAAGCAAGCTAGTTGGTGGAGGGCACTTCCCCTTCAACCAGTGCTTGTTAATTTAATTACCATTTAGAGCTAAAACAGCACCAGGTGTCCGAGACCATTTGGAACATGCATAAATGCAGAACCGTCTGAGCTCAGCCATTTTGATTGCACTGTTGATACAAGGCAGGGGTTATTTTAAACCCTAGCATTATGCGGTTTTGTACATTTTTAAATGGAACTGGGATTATTCCAGGATCACCTATCACAAAAGTCATTTCTATACATTGGCCCTGTAGCTCCTGATTCGAACATAGAATCTGTTCAATAAATGGCTCCCTCTTAGTATCAAAAAAGTCAGCACAGAAGATACTGTCTTACATCAGATAGTAAAGTTCACATTATTTGTGAACTCCCTTTGGAGGGGCAACGTGCAGTGTGGAAGGAGCGCCAGATAGGAGCCGGAAGTCTGGATCTGAGACCAGACTGTGGCCCTGGTTAGTGTAGGGCAGATCGTAGACCTCAATTTCCCCATCCATGAAAATTCGGCCATTCGATTAGGTGGTCTCTTAGACTCTTTCCAACGTCAAAAATACTCTGAAACGTCCTGAATTTTTCCACATCCTGTTTTTACTGCCAGATTTTTTTTTCTTTTATTCAGAAAATGTAGTCAAAGATCTGACCCCCCTGGGAATTTAAAGGGTTGTGTCACAAGTCTCTGGACCAACGATCATTAAAATGAAGCTGCTTAAGATGGCGAGGTTAGGTCAGGTGAGCCCAGTGTTAAAAATTTTAATGCAATGTTCACTCACGTCCAGGTAAATGGAGACTGTAATTCTCCTAACTCTTCCTTTGTCCCATGAGTCAGGAGGTGGCAGAGCATGGAAGTGACAGCCCAGTCACTGAAGAGATCAGATGTCCCGGAAGTGGACCTCAGCCTGGCCGCTCGGAGTGGGGAGAGATGGGGGGCGGTGGCGTGGAGAGAAGGTGGGGGAGAGAAAGAGAATAGGGACTGAGTGAATAGCATTTGGAGTTTTATATCAATTGCAATCCATCCAGTCACATCCAATTTAGATGTGGAGGCTGCATCTAAAAGTGAAGAAATGAGGGTTGTGGATGCTGTTCAAACTCAAACCTCTTCCTTACCTGAGTTCCTTACACAAACTCTATAGACTATAGATCTATAGATCTTTATAGACTAAACTTTGTAGACTATAGATCACTATAGTAATCTCTAAAGCAGAGTGTGAGAGGAAAACTTCAGCACTTCTCTTTTGAAGTATATTTATTGGAACCCATCTTTCATTTCAAATTTGGATTAGTAAAACAATACATCTTTATCATGTAAACAAATACGTGTGTATTGGAGGTGCATGTTCAGACTATTTTTACTGCCATAACCATGGTCGAAAGAAGACCAGGGTCCTCAACACGACCTAACATTCTAACAGCCAAGTGCGTCTTCCAATCACTTTGAGTCCTAATGCGTTACTTACATAAACATGTTACATAATGGTTCTATATATTTTTTTTTCTGCAAAAGGAATATATCTTGATCTTTTTCCAAGATTTTAACACAAATCCACATCCATGTAGAATATTTGGAAAATACCGAAAATTATGAAGAAGACACTTAACTTGCATAACCCCAGTCCACATTTGTAAAAAAGAGATCTTTTGCTTTTGAAATCCTGAGATCATTTTAATTTTTTTGAACTCTTATAGGGTGCCGAAAAGTCACCCGCCACTTCAGCCGACCTCAAGTCAGACAAAGGCAATGTTACGCCCCAGGAGCCCCAAGGGGCTGCCAAGAATTCTACATCCACTGAAACAGCAAAGGAAGGTGCCAAGGAAAAGGGGGGCCCCACCTCTCTGCCTCTGGGCAAACTGTTCTGGAAAAAGGTAAGTCCTAGTTTCAAGATTTGGAGAGTCCTTGGGGCCAGGATGACTTGAGATATGGTTTCTATTGGGCCAACGGATGTATTCAGCAATGCATGGAGTTTCTTGTTCTCCAGAATGACTCATCTTGCCATTGAGTTGAAGCTCACCCCCGGGAAAAATGAAACACCTATCGCGTTAGAAGCACGTGTTTTGTGGGGAAGAAAAGGAAGTGAACAAGTCGAATTTTTCATTCTTGGAATTAATCCGGTTCATGACAGAGGGTTATGGTATTTCGTGATTTCATTTTCTTTCTAAAATGGTGGGTTACATAAAGGTTATGCCCCCATCAGCAGTATAAGAGAGCACATTATCCTACACCCTTGACAACAGCGTTTTATCAAACTTCTTAATACTCGCCAATCTTACAGAGTGAAAAAGGTACTCAAGTGTAATTTTTAATTATGTATAGTTTGTGAATGAGGTAGGGTGCCTTTTTTTTTTTTTTTTTTGCGGTACACGGGCCTCTCACTGTTGTGGCCTCTCCCATTGCGGAGCACAGGCTCCGGACACGCAGGCTCAGTGGCCATGGCTTACTATACATATGATAGAGTCATGTCCTTGTCATGTTTTTCGAAGATCTCAGGGTATCTTCCCAGGGCAAAGAGAATTGGCCATTTCCCAACAAAACTGATCAGTATAGATGTGTTCCTCAACCTTTTTCCCATTATCACCCCCCCACCATGAAGCTTCTTTAGATATTTTCTCCCTAATTGCCCTTCTCCCCATGGAATTTTAGTACAACAGCTACACTGTTTATCTGTTGATGTACCGTGGCCCTTAGTAGGGCCATAGGCAATATAAACATCTAAAAATTGCCCATAACGCACTGCCCCAAGAACAAGGGCAATCTCACCCCCCAACTTTCCCCCACGTGGAGTTAAGATTGCCGTGGCTGAGAATGCATATGGCGTAGACGGTTCCATCCCCTGATGGGCACAACAGCACATGGAGTGGGGAGATCTTGGTCTGTTGGAAGCAGTGTAGACAGAGTAGCTATTCAGAGTCTGGGTTTGGGTATCAGACTCCCTGGATTCAGATGCCAACTCTGTCACCTTATAAGTGCAATCACAGGCAAGTTATTTAACCACCTGAGACCAAAATTTCCCTAACAATAAAATGGACATAACAATTAATTCCTTCCTCATAGGACTGTTGTTAGAACATTCAATTGCTTAAAACAGTGCCTGGCACTGGTACCTTTTATTGTTACTATTAAATCGGAGTTAAAAGTTGGCCATCTCTGTGCCTAGTCTCCTTGGACCCTAGTCCCTCTTCAAGAGGCTGAGAGAGAAAGGAGGCTGAGGGGAACAAAAGGAAAGGGTAAAACCAGCCAAACCAGAGGCGTGTGATGGGCTAAGCAAACTAGACCTGTCCTGCCTAGAATTCTAGAACTCCAGAACTAGCTTTTTTTGGTAACCCCCATGTGGCTTTGGCTGAGTAGACTGAGCACATACGAAGGGGTATCCAGGAGCTGGTGAGGCAACGCGGCGTCTCTAAGTATAGAAAGCAAAGCAGCAGAATTTAAATCAAAGCAGTGTGGAGCAATGGAGCATCTACTGTAATGACATGAGCAGAATGGATGATTTACTTAAGCCAACAAGAACCCTTTCTTAGAGATAGAAGTGAGGTCAGCCTCACCCCGCCCCCAGATTCTTGACCTAACATGGACCCCTTGAGCAAGTGGGGATTTTCCCAAGAAAGCAGAAGGGGAGTTGATGTTGGGGACCACGCATGGCCACTCCTTTCCTTCCTGCTTCCATCACGGCTCTCTGATGCTTTTCGAGGGCGCTGAGAGCACGCTGTTCGCTGTGCCTGGTGTGCTTCTCCTCCCTCCCGCAGCTAATTTCTAGTCACCCTTCAGGTCGTGGCACAGCATCCCTTTCTCTATCAAGCCTTCCTGATTGCCATGATGGATCTAATTCCCTAGTTTAGCCTTTTTTTTTTTTTTAGCACCAAATCCTTCTCTCCACCCCACAGCACTTATCATAGTTGAAATTTTACATACATTTGTGGAATTATTTGTTTGGTGTCTCTCTCTCTCTCTCTATGAGGACATGTAACCCCAGCACTCAGTACCCATTGCAGGTCATAGAAGGCAGTCGATGCATTTTTTATGAGTAAATGAATAAATCATAATACTTTCCTCCTGTTTTCTGGAAAAGCAAGCAAGCTAGTTGGTGGAGGGCACTTCCCCTTCAACCAGTGCTTGTTAATTTAATTACCATTTAGAGCTAAAACAGCACCAGGTGTCCGAGACCATTTGGAACATGCATAAATGCAGAACCGTCTGAGCTCAGCCATTTTGATTGCACTGTTGATACAAGGCAGGGGTTATTTTAAACCCTAGCATTATGCGGTTTTGTACATTTTTAAATGGAACTGGGATTATTCCAGGATCACCTATCACAAAAGTCATTTCTATACATTGGCCCTGTAGCTCCTGATTCGAACATAGAATCTGTTCAATAAATGGCTCCCTCTTAGTATCAAAAAAGTCAGCACAGAAGATACTGTCTTACATCAGATAGTAAAGTTCACATTATTTGTGAACTCCCTTTGGAGGGGCAACGTGCAGTGTGGAAGGAGCGCCAGATAGGAGCCGGAAGTCTGGATCTGAGACCAGACTGTGGCCCTGGTTAGTGTAGGGCAGATCGTAGACCTCAATTTCCCCATCCATGAAAATTCGGCCATTCGATTAGGTGGTCTCTTAGACTCTTTCCAACGTCAAAAATACTCTGAAACGTCCTGAATTTTTCCACATCCTGTTTTTACTGCCAGATTTTTTTTTCTTTTATTCAGAAAATGTAGTCAAAGATCTGACCCCCCTGGGAATTTAAAGGGTTGTGTCACAAGTCTCTGGACCAACGATCATTAAAATGAAGCTGCTTAAGATGGCGAGGTTAGGTCAGGTGAGCCCAGTGTTAAAAATTTTAATGCAATGTTCACTCACGTCCAGGTAAATGGAGACTGTAATTCTCCTAACTCTTCCTTTGTCCCATGAGTCAGGAGGTGGCAGAGCATGGAAGTGACAGCCCAGTCACTGAAGAGATCAGATGTCCCGGAAGTGGACCTCAGCCTGGCCGCTCGGAGTGGGGAGAGATGGGGGGCGGTGGCGTGGAGAGAAGGTGGGGGAGAGAAAGAGAATAGGGACTGAGTGAATAGCATTTGGAGTTTTATATCAATTGCAATCCATCCAGTCACATCCAATTTAGATGTGGAGGCTGCATCTAAAAGTGAAGAAATGAGGGTTGTGGATGCTGTTCAAACTCAAACCTCTTCCTTACCTGAGTTCCTTACACAAACTCTATAGACTATAGATCTATAGATCTTTATAGACTAAACTTTGTAGACTATAGATCACTATAGTAATCTCTAAAGCAGAGTGTGAGAGGAAAACTTCAGCACTTCTCTTTTGAAGTATATTTATTGGAACCCATCTTTCATTTCAAATTTGGATTAGTAAAACAATACATCTTTATCATGTAAACAAATACGTGTGTATTGGAGGTGCATGTTCAGACTATTTTTACTGCCATAACCATGGTCGAAAGAAGACCAGGGTCCTCAACACGACCTAACATTCTAACAGCCAAGTGCGTCTTCCAATCACTTTGAGTCCTAATGCGTTACTTACATAAACATGTTACATAATGGTTCTATATATTTTTTTTTCTGCAAAAGGAATATATCTTGATCTTTTTCCAAGATTTTAACACAAATCCACATCCATGTAGAATATTTGGAAAATACCGAAAATTATGAAGAAGACACTTAACTTGCATAACCCCAGTCCACATTTGTAAAAAAGAGATCTTTTGCTTTTGAAATCCTGAGATCATTTTAATTTTTTTGAACTCTTATAGGGTGCCGAAAAGTCACCCGCCACTTCAGCCGACCTCAAGTCAGACAAAGGCAATGTTACGCCCCAGGAGCCCCAAGGGGCTGCCAAGAATTCTACATCCACTGAAACAGCAAAGGAAGGTGCCAAGGAAAAGGGGGGCCCCACCTCTCTGCCTCTGGGCAAACTGTTCTGGAAAAAGGTAAGTCCTAGTTTCAAGATTTGGAGAGTCCTTGGGGCCAGGATGACTTGAGATATGGTTTCTATTGGGCCAACGGATGTATTCAGCAATGCATGGAGTTTCTTGTTCTCCAGAATGACTCATCTTGCCATTGAGTTGAAGCTCACCCCCGGGAAAAATGAAACACCTATCGCGTTAGAAGCACGTGTTTTGTGGGGAAGAAAAGGAAGTGAACAAGTCGAATTTTTCATTCTTGGAATTAATCCGGTTCATGACAGAGGGTTATGGTATTTCGTGATTTCATTTTCTTTCTAAAATGGTGGGTTACATAAAGGTTATGCCCCCATCAGCAGTATAAGAGAGCACATTATCCTACACCCTTGACAACAGCGTTTTATCAAACTTCTTAATACTCGCCAATCTTACAGAGTGAAAAAGGTACTCAAGTGTAATTTTTAATTATGTATAGTTTGTGAATGAGGTAGGGTGCCTTTTTTTTTTTTTTTTTTGCGGTACACGGGCCTCTCACTGTTGTGGCCTCTCCCATTGCGGAGCACAGGCTCCGGACACGCAGGCTCAGTGGCCATGGCTCACGGGCCCAGCCGCTCAGCGGCATGTGGGATCCTCCCGGACCGGGGCACGAACCCGTGTCCCCTGCATCGGCAGGCGGACTCTCAACCACTGCACCACCAGGGAAGCCCAGGTTGCCTTTTTTTATCTGCCTTAAGAACCATTAATGTTTTTCTGTGAATTGTTTATTCATAAGTTTTGCCCATTTCCTAAAAATGGGATCGTTGGGTAGATTGTTCCTTTCATCACAGCACAATGTTTCTCTTTGTCTCCTTAACAGCTTGGGGCTGTTAGTATATTTATTTAACATCAATGTTGTTTTGCTCACGGTACATCTTTGGCCATTCTTGTATCTTCAGTCTTCCTTAGATT